AAAACCGAGTGGGGGTGCGGACAGTGGTGGGGGCGGTGTTGGTGGGGATAGTGGTGAGGGGACAGCGGGGCAGTGGTGGGGACAGTGGGGGGACAGTAGGACAGTGGTGGGGACGGTAGTGGCGGGGACGGTGGTGGGGACAATGGTGGGAACAGGGGGGACAGTGGACAGTGGTGGGAACGGTGGTGGTGGGGACAGTGGTGTGGGGACAGTGGGAATGAGGTGGAAACACTGGGACAGTGGAGGGTACAATGGTGGTGGGGACACTGGTAAAGGCGGTGGCGAGGACGGCGGTGGGACAATGGGACAGAGGTACAGTGGGGACAGTGGTGGGGACAGTGGGGACAGTGGTGGAAACAGTGGGACAGCTCAGTGGGACAGCGGAGGAGTCAGTGGGACAGTGGGGACAGTGGGGATAGGCAGTGGTTGGGTCCGTGGAGACAGTGGGGAGAGTGGAACCGTGGTGGGAACAGTTGTGGGAACAGTGGGGACAGTGCGACAGTGGTGGGGGCATTGGTGGGGACAATAGGGACGGTGGTGGAACCAGTGGGGACAGTGGTGGTGAGGACAGTGGTGCTGGGAACAACAGTGGGGGATGTGATGCGAGCGGTGGTAGGGACCGGGAGTCGTTTGCTGGCGGTGCGTGGGGGTGGGGGGGGGGTCGAACCGGTAGTGACCCCCCTCCGGTTTTCGAGGGGGGGGGGGGGGGGGCCGGTAGGGATCCCACCGGTAGTTTCCGGATCCGGAGGGGGGGGGAGGGGAGGGGGGGGGGGGGGGAGGGGGGGGGGGGGGGGGGGGGTGGGGGGGGGGGGGGGGGGGGGAGGGGGGGGGGGGGGGGGGGGGGGGGGGGGGGGGGGGAGGGGGGGGGGGGGGGGGGGAGGGGGGGGGGGAGGGGGGGGGGGGGGTAGGGGGGGGGAGGGGGGGGGGGGGTGGGGGGGGGGGGTGGGGGGGGGGGGGGGGGGGGGGGGGGGGGGGGGGGGGGGGGGGGGGGGGTGAGGGGGGGGGGGGGAGGGGAGGGGGGGGGGGGGGGGGGAATTTTCGGAGGGGGGGGGGGGAGACCCCGGGTTCCAGGAGGAAAAAGTTGGCAATTTTCCACAGTAAAGCGGCGGTGGATCACGCTCCCGACCCCTGCCCGAGGGACAGTCTTTCGCCCTAGAGCCATTCTTGACGTCGTGGATCCCGATTAACGGGCCCCAGTGGCCGAAGTCGAGGAAAACAGCCGCCGGGATGCGTCAGAGATAACTGGGGCGGTGTCAGAAGCTGACGCCGAAAAGCCGTCACGACACGGGCTTGCTGGAAGCCTTTTTGTAGTCCGCTCTTTTTTTGCCGAGGCGGAACCTAATCCAGAACCATCAGACCCAGACCCCCTCGAGTCATGAAAAAGTCACGACGGGAAGTTTTCCCTTATTTTGGGCCTTTGGGGGCGCTCACCGGGCCTCTGGACCGTCAAAAAACGACTCACAATTATTTTCCAGGCAGGGGAAATGGGTCGAGACCTCCAGGGTCGACGTTATGAACAAATCATGACGTCAGGGGTCTGGGGACGGGGCTAGGACGAGGACGAATCCTTTCCAGAGCGTTCCGGGACGCTGGATCTCAGAGATTCTCGATTGATCTTCACCCGATGTTATCTTCGTCCTGGCCTCGTCTTCTTCCGAGGCGGAAGTTTACCTACCCAGAACCACCGCCTGGGAGATGAGAGATTGACTGTCGGGAGCCTCGGTAGGCGGCGGACATGGGTGACAGATCTATATGTGTGTACCAACATATCGTAGGTCATGCCATTTAAAATGTCACTGCACTGCGTCATTATATCTTTTATACATGGATATACGTGTTTATCGATATACATACACATATAGATATGTGTGTATATGTATATGTATATGTATATGTATGTATATATACATACATTTATATACCTGAAAATGATCGGGTCCTGCGGGGGCCGAACGTATATCCATAGCCACCGCCTGCCGAGGCCCCCGAAGATCGATTCCGAGGGACCCGCCGAAGCGCCGAAGCCCTGGAGCACCTCGGGGCCCTCACAGAACCGATGCAGCGTGCTCCGCACGGCTTCTCATATAGCACGATTTCTTACAGCCGACCCGCATGACAAGGATGGGCCACCTTCCAAAGGGTACCCTTGCATCCTTGCCTCCTCGGCCCATCCTTGGCCACTTTCGTTGGCCACGCCCCGCTCGGAAAGCTTCGAGATGGGCGTCCAAGGTCCGCGCATCCTTATCGCGCATTCTTATGATTCGGGCCGGCTCTACCGTACTTGCGACTAGTCAGCTCTCGAGTGTAGCATACGCACTTCTTACTTGCTGGTACATATTCTACGAAGTGGCCCCGGTTGCTGCCTGACACGACAGAAGTCCAATTATAATGCATGACCACCGCCCCGGGGGATCGATCTTCGGGGACCTCGGCGGGCGGTGTGTATGGAGATGGATTCGGCCCCAGTTGGGCGGTATGTATGGAGACGGAGATGGATACCGCCGCGCCGACGTCGTCTCGACACGAACCTGCAAGAATTAAGTCGGCCATGTCCCTGTACAGGAGGCAGATGTCAAAACATAGTTATAGAGTGATCGGGAGTCGACTTTCGGACGAATCTTCTCAATGTTGAGTACTTGTTGGAGGATGTTTTATTTTTCCTCCCAAATCCGCCTGTAGGGGAGATACCCGACCTAACCCTTTGCTGTCCGCCCTCCCCTCGTCTGGCCCCCGCAGGCGGGAGCCTGGCGCCGCCGGGCGCGCCAGCGCCGGAGGCTGCCGCAGGGGGCTCGTGGCCCGGGGGGGAGGGGCTGCTGACGTGTGCACGTTCGGCCTGGAGGCTGGGCACCACCACCACCGGGATCCCAGGGGCCTCCACCGGGGGGGGGGGCGATCCCAGATTTCTTGTGGCCTGGAGATGGGCACCACCACCACCACCAGGACCTGGGGCCTCCACCCGGGGGAGGCGAGATCCCAGCTCTCGGTGCTGCGGGTAGCGTTTCGGCCGCCGCTCAGCCACGCGCAGAGGGGGGTGGGGGGAGGGGGAACGGCTTCTTAGAAGCACCCCTGCTTCTTAGAAGGCGCGGGCCTTCTCTATAGATGTAAGGCCGGCACCTTCCATGAAGCAGTCTCCTGAGAAGCCCCCCCCCCCCTCCCCCCATCACCTGGAGATTTGGCACCACCACACCTGTGACTCGTCTGGTGCTCTCAAGCCCGTGCCTTTTTTCCATGGCTCTGTCTAGCTGTCGGCCTCCGGGGCCTCTTCCGGACAGCTCTTGGCTGAAGTGGCCACGGCGTGAGGTCCGCAAGTGTGCACGGGACCCGGGGCCTCCGCCCAGGGGGAGGCGCGATCCCGCGATCCCAGCCCCCGGTGCTGCGGGCCGCGTTTCGGCCGCAGTTCTGCCGCCATCATCGGCCTGATGGAGGCCACCGCCGAGATCTCTGATGGTGTCAACCTCCGAGCCTCCCATCCTGGGTCGGAGGCTCTTGACAGTTTCTGCCTCTAGGGCGAAGGTGGGCATGTCACTCTACAGGAGGAGGATTCAAACATAGTTTTTAAACAGTCTGGGGACATGTTTTCATATGATGTACTGTGTCTGATTCTTGTTTTGATGATTTTTTATTCAACGTTCGGGTGGGGAGAGGCTCAGCGGGGGAGCACCGACCCTCAATCGCCTGCTCATCGCTGATACCGAAGAAGACAGAACGCTGTAAACCTAAAGCTTTTGGCGCTCCGATCCGCGCTGGGCCACCCTGGCGGCGCCTCTGGCGCTGCCCCTGGCGCGCTCCGCGCGCCAGGGAGGGGGGTCCAGCGCAGATCCAAGAAATCCGCGTGGAGTGCCAAAAGTCTAAGTTTATGTGCTTTTTCCTTCCTCTATGACAGGGGTCACATAACTAACCCTCCCCGTACAGGGACGCACGGGTTCGCAATCGGAAGCCTGTCGCCGATCTGTCAGCGATGCTTCCCGAGCCAGCCCCGCCCCCCCTTCGAGACGTTGCCCCTCAGGAGGCCCTCGCGTCGTGTCAGGAGCCACGACAGGGGGTGTTCGGCAATGTTTTGCATCTAGGGGTCCTTGCCGGCCCCGTTTTGTCACGCCGGGGCTCGGCAGGAAAGCTTTTTGGTAGATTCAGAACAAAGTTCTGACCGTCAAGATCGGCCGCTTGGGGGCCGTTCAAATGTCCCTCCAGAATGCCAAGCACGTTCCTGCGTTTTGGAATTCGTCTTGTCGGTCAAACGCTGTCGGGTTCGGGCCTTTGTTGGGCCCTGGGGCCGTCAACCAGAAGGCGTTTCATGGCAGTCCCCCCCCCCTCCCCCCTCCGCGCCCCCCTCCGCTGCCTTTCTCGAGCAGCGCTGGGCCAAAACAGCGTGCAGGCGAGTCCCTATTTGCGCAGAAGCCGAATTTCCTTTCCGGCCTCCTCACGTCCCTCCCCTCTCTCCCCCTCTTATGCAAGTACAGCCGAGTCGCGAGGAGAAGCCGGGAACCGGGAAGGGGTCCAGACCCTTTGGGGAGCCATTTCGCTAAAAAGCACGGCGTCGGATATTTTCGGAATCACAGGTGGTGCTCTCACGCTCACTCTCTTGCCGTGGGGCCCTCGTGGGGTCGACAGCCCCAGTCGTCATGCTTGTGGCGCTGGCATTATGTTTACGGTTTACGGCGTCTGATGTCGGGGGGCATCACTAGCGTCCGATTTCGACCGTGGTCGAGAGGGTGAGCTGCTGGATTTGCCTGACATCGGAGGCCTAGAGGTTGGCACCAGCACCAGCATCCGCGGTTGCACCCACCGAGGGAAGATGGTCCTGATCTCAGTGATGGCGGTAGTGCTCGGGCTTCTGAGGTGGCCGGCGGATTGCCACCAGCACGAAGCTCCAGGAGTAGCTTCCCCTCGTGGAGGCACCTCCCTCTGTGGGCTGTGGGAACCAGTCTCCACGCCCCCAAAGATACTACGCGCAAAATGCTCTGCCCCCCGGGCCAGCCGCCCCTGCTGCAGCCTCCGACCAGCAAGCGCGCGCCCAGCCGGCGTGGCAGCTCTTTCGAAGAGCGCCCAGGTTCGGACAGTGGGGGCACGGCGAACAACAGAGGGAAGGCGAATGGCTGCGGTCCGGCCTTTGACGACTTACTCTGGGGTGCTGGTCGCGCATGTTTTCCGAAGTTCTCAGGTGAACGGCTTCTCAGGTGAACGGCTCCCCAAAGACGTCTTCGGACGTCTGGAGTTCTTACTGTCACCAGCCCATCCGCAACGAATTCCAGGCGAAATTCCTTTATGAGGGAAGGCAAAACAAAACAGAGGCACAAAGAGGGAGGGATTTGGGGGAATGGAGGGTGGGGTGGAGTGGAGCGTGGAGTGCAGGTGGAGGGCGGGGGGAGCCGGGGGGATACGGAGTGGAGGGAGGGTGGAGGGCGAGTGGAGTGTCGTGGAGGATGCGGGTGGATGCGGCAACCCATTGAATGCGCCCGTGGTCGCAAGACTGGCGGGCCCGGCCCCCGTCAAGGCATGCAAGTGAAGTCGAGATTACCGCCAAGATCGCCTGCAAGATGGCATATGATGGGCCAAGATGATGATCCTAGACGGTCGCCAGCAATCTTCAAAGAGGCCTCCAGACCGCTACTTGTTTGCCCGAGGTGGCCGTGGAGCTTCCCCGGGTTCCCCCCGCGAAGCCAAACATCATTCAATTCTCTGTGCTCAATGTGTTTAGCCTTGTTCCCAAGACCTCAAGATGCTCCCAAGATGCTCTCGAGACCTCAAGATGCTCCCATGATGCTCCCAAGATGTGTTCGATGATTCCCTTCCGATGCTCTCGAGGTCTCAAGACGATCCCAAGATCGCCCACGACGGCCCCAGGAGTGGCTGCAGACGGCCCCGGAGACCCCCAAGAGGCCCCCAAGAGAAGCCCAAGGAGACCCAAAGAGGCCCACAGGCCGCTGCAAATCTCAAAAAGGCCACCTGGCTAACCCCAGGATTTCTTTGGTTTGAGGACCCCCCTGTTTCTCTCGACGGGAAACAAGTGGCACGCGTGCCCTGGCTCTTGCACAAAGGAGCTGCGAAGGACAGGAGGCCCTCGCCTCCTTCCTCCAGGAGGGGTTTAGGAGGATCCAGGAAGAAAGCGGAGGAGGAGGAGGACGACGACGACGACGATTTCTGGGGCCTGGCCTGGTTTTGTTTCTAGGCCTTGGCCAAGAGTGCCTCCGTGGCCCAGGGGGGCTACCCTGGGAAGCGTGGACAGGGGGGGGGGGACGAACGACACGACGAACGACGAAAATAAAGGGTTCCGTGGCCCAGGGGGGCTACCCTGGGAAGCGTGAACAGGGGGGGGGGCGAGGGGTACCCTGGGAAGCGTGGACAGGGGGGAAGGCGAGGGGGACGGGGGGGGGCGAGGGGGACGAACGACACGACGAACGACGAAAATAAAAGGTTCCGTGGCCCAGGGGGGCTACCCTGGGAAGCGTGGACAGGGGGGGGCGAGGGGGACGAACGACACGACGAACGACGAAAATAAAGATGTCCGAGCTCTAGAGCACAGCTGTGCAAGAGAATAAAGGGTTCCGTGGCCCAGGGGGGCTACCCTGGGAAGCGTGGACAGGGGGGGGGCGAGGGGGACGAACGACACGACGAACGACGAAAATAAAGGGTTCGTGGCCCAGGCGGGCTACCTGGGAAGCGTGGACAGGGGGGGGGGGGCGAGGGGTACCCTGGGAGCGTGGACAGGGGGGGGCGAGGGGGGGGGGAGGGGGCGAGGGGGTACGAACGACACGACGAACGACGAAAATAAAAGGGCGTGGCCGGGGGGGGGGGTGGAAGGGGGGGGGGGGGGGGCGAGGGGTATCTGGGAAGCGGACAGGGGGGGGGGCGCGGGGGACGGGGGCGACGGGGGACGACGAAAGACGAACGAAAAAATAAAGGGTTCCGTGGCCCAGGGGGGCTACCCTGGGAAGCGTGGACAGGGGGGGGGGAGGGGGACGACGAACACGACGAAGACGAAAAATAAAGATGTCCGAGCTCTAGAGCACAGCTGTGCAAGATAATAAACTCGCCCTTCCTCCTCCTCCTCCTCCTCCTCCTCCTCCTTCTCCTCCTCCTCCTCCTCCTCCTCCTCCTCCTCCTCCTCCTCTTCCTCCTCCTCTTGCTCCTCCTCGTGGTCGGTATTGTAGCCGTCGTCGTAGTCGTCGTCGTCGCTGCGAAGATGATGTTCCCTCTATTGTTGGGCAGGCGGGATAATGTTGGGAGTTTCTTCTTCCCAGGGAATACAGTCGACCCGCAGAGCAAGCATAGGCATCCATCCCAAGGGTACCCTTGCATCCTTGCTTCCTGGGTCCATCCTTGGACACTTTCGTTGGCCGCGCCCCGCTCGAAACGCTTCGAAGTGGGCGTCCAAGGGCCTTGCATCTTTATCGCGCATCCTTACTCTGCGGGTTGACTGTAATTCATTGAGGGCTACCCTACACGCGAGACGATGTTTGAGCATCTTCTCATGAGAGGATTGCAATGGCAATCAGTTGCTGTGGCTGAAGTCGTGATTGTAGTCGTGGTTGCAATCGTGATGGTAATCGTGATTGTAGTCGTGGTTGCAGCCGTAATCATAGTGATGGTTGAAGTCGCAATCGTAATCGCAATCGTAGTCGTCGTTTTCGTTGTTGTTGTGCGGCGGGTCCCGCGGAGAATTTATTCCCCAATATTGGTTTGACCCCAGTCCGTTAATGAGGTCGCCGAAAAGATAATCAGTTTCCAACTGTTTTGGGGGGGGTCTGAAGACCCATAAAGGTTAGCAGATTCGGGTTCCGAGTGATCCAAGAGGTCCAACAAGAGCCGAAGGTGCCTCAGCTCAGCCCCAAGAGGGCCCTCATGCCACCCCGAACGGCCTGCGAACGAGTCTCACGGGGCCACCCGAGCCCCCTCAAAAGGAACCTCTCCGCCTCGCGATCCTCCCCCGACCCTGTTCGCGCGGCTCGGCGCAGGGGGGGCAATTCGCATATCACTCTGGGGTTCAGTCGGGCGTGTCCCCCTACAGGGGGATTTTCGACGACAAATGAAAAATACACCAAAAATAATTAAAACATGCTCCAAAAATAGTCTGGGGACTATGTTTTAAGTATTTTTGTTACCTTTTCGGTGTATTTTTGGTGTATTTTGTTGTTTCTCGTCGAAGCTCCCCTTGTAGGGGGACAGGCCCGACTCAACTCTGGGGCAGGGCGAGGGAGGGCGGCGGCGGCAGCTCCCACCCCCGCCGCCCCCCACTGCGCCGTCTGGGGCCCGCCGCAGCGGCGCGAAGGCGATCGCGCGCGCCGCGGCCCGGGCTGGAGCGGCTGCCCCTCTCGAGCGGGGGGGCGGCGCGAGGGCGCGAAGAGAGGCGCGCCTCGCGGCGCGCGAGGCGCGAGGTGAGCTGGCGTGGCGTGCACCCCGGCCCCCGACGTCGTGATTTCTGTCACGACGTCGACCCCCGGGGAACGGTTTCTCGTCCCGAGTCCTTCTTTGACCGTCCCGAGGGGGGCCCCCGGAGGCCGAAAATACATAGAAAAAATTCCCGTCGTTTTTTTCACAGTGCGAGGGGGTCTGGGTAAACCGCCTGCCGCCCAGAGGGCCGGTGTGTCGTCCTCCCCCTCCTCCTCCTCCGCCTCCTCCTCCGCCTCCTCCTCCTCCTCCGCATCCTCAAAAAACCGCTATCCTCATCCTCCTCCGCTCCTCCTCCTCCTCCACCTCCTCCTCCTCCTCCTCCTCCTTCCTCCTCCTCCTCCTCCTCTCCTCCTCCTCCTCCTCCCCCCCCCTCCTCCTCCTCCTCCTCCTCCGCATCCTCCACCTGCCGCCCAGAGGGCCGGTGTGAGCCTGCGCCGCCGCATGCTGTCGCCAGGCTCCCCGACACCCGCCTGCTCTCGCCAGAGGTGCTCGGGGGCCCACCGCCGGGGAAGCCCGCGCCCCCCGCGCAGCGGCGGGCGACCGCGCCGGCGAAGCGGGAGAGGTGGTGCGGGCAAGACTCGTAATGGAGGATGACGATAAATAAATGACTGGGGGTCGTGTTCACGTGGCGGCGCCCAGGATGACGATTAGAAAAAACCGGCCGCGGGCTGGAAAACTATTTCTTTAATCGTTTTCCTCCAGTCAGAAATTTGTGCAGAAATAGCAGGAAACTTTTTTTTTAGTCGTTCTCCCCCATTTTTTATTAATCGTCATCCCGCATTATCAACCTCCACCTCTGAGGTCCAACGTGTTGAAAGGATCAGGGCGGAGATTTTGTCGCAGTTGTCGGCTTCTCGGGGACCTCGCCGGGCCCCAGGCCCATCATTGCGCTACCGAGGAAACCCACCTACTTAAGTTGAGTCTTATGTATGTTGCTTATCACTGCAATAGATGCGCAATCCTGCAGTCTGAACCCTCGTCGCGAATGTTTCCTGATGTTGCCGTCCATCACACCATTGCTTGAACCTTCTCCCCCGTCCCCGCCTTCTATCTTCCATCGGGGAAAAGTTTGAGGAGGTCACCGAGGGTCGTTTCCTGGGGCGGCAACAAGCAAAGAGGTAATGCAAGACGATATGCCACATCGCGGTTAGTCAGGGGGCCCATTGTGGAAGTCGGTGCAAATCCCCCCCCCCCGCGCAAACGGTTTGGGGAGCCTCTAGAGTGATCCTTTCTCCATCCCCTCATGCTGCGCAAAGGAATTGCAAAGCAGACGTAATCTGCCTGCATGCAATATGTGATTGCCCTTCGATGGACAATCTCTGGGCTTTGGTTGCCACGAGGACAAAAGCTGGGTGGCCGTTCCAGAATCGTCAAAGAGTGGCGCTGGCCGCGCGATTTCGATGCGGCTGGACAGCGCTGCCTTTGTCGGAAAGATGCCGGCGCCAGTGCACACGAACGACCGCGCGCCGCCGACAAGATCCATTGGCGTTCCACGGCGAGGGCCTCGATCTCCCGCGTCTCCGTGGCCATGCGCTCATCGAACTTTTGGAACGTTTTGAGCACGGACGGAGGCGGACCTTTCTGCAGGACCTCCCTTGGCGGCGGCCGAAGCAACAGCAGATCGTCCATGCAAGTGGCTCTGCTGAGCATCGCATACAGGTGCAGCCACCAGTTCTCCGCCATCTCCTCCGGTCTGCCAATGCTCGCGTCCTGCGCGCAGTCGATGGTCACCCCGGCGCGGATCGTCTGGCCGTGTGACGTGGTGGACGTCAGGAAGCGCTCGTGCGTGAGCGCGTGCCCAAACCTCTTCACCCGGTGCACCCCCATTAGCGAAAAGTGCGTTTTGAAGTGCGCCTCCATTTGCGGGAAGCTGAACAAACCGTTCGCTTTTTCTTTCTGGATTCCGAAAGAGTTGACTTCTCCAACTTGTGCACCTGCATCCAGATTCCGGCGGGCAGACAGCGTGGGCGGCAGATCTCTCTCGCAGCGCATGCGTCGTACCTGTCTTGGTCGTTGCTTTCGAACACGAAGCTCACGATCGAGGCCTTCTGCTGCGCAAGGACACCTTGACGGTGAATCTCACCGCCATGCCCAAGCGCGCGGGGAGGCTCCGCACATGTGCCCCGCATCGCGAGGGTTCGGCACGTTCAGAAGCCGTTTGCAAGCATCATCAGTTTCTTGCTGTGCGCTACAGACGATGCCCTCCTCCGTTGATTGCAGGGAAACCAGCGGCGCGCAGGTGGCGCGAGAGTCGGCCCATTGGCACAGCGTGCTCCAGTACCAGGCCATTCCGAATACGGTCGCAAACTTTTCCTCGTCGCGCCTCGGGCACCTCATTCGCGCAATCGTCGGCGACCCGAGCCTGGGCGGCGGCCCGCGCGCGATCTGGAATCCGGCGCGCGAAGAGCATGCAGGCTAGGAGCTCGATCAGCGGGTCGCCAGGCTTGGAGCGCTCGGTGCCCTTCAGCTCGACCACGTGGGGCACTTTGCCGAACGCTCTACTGGCAGGCTTCGCTTCCACGCTCGGAGGCGGATCCAACTTGTAGTTGCCGTCCTCGTCGTTCTCTTGGACGCCCCCGATGAGCGCCGTGGCTTTCGTCGGGGCGAGCTGGAGGAAGTCGCCCAAGTGAAAGACGACGGGGTCTCGCCCGAGGTGGTGGTGGTCCTTTTTGTAGTTGGACTCGTCCACGGTGAACTCCTGGCGCCTGCCGAACATGCCCCCGAAGGCCAGCACGTTGTATAAGGCCGCAGATATCATGCTGACTTCTTCCATGGCAAGCGCGCAGTCGGCGCCATCGCTGCTGCAGTTTCTTGAGCTTTGCGACGCTGGGCCGCATCTTCTCGTTCGTCAGCTCCTGCTCGGCCATGCCTCCAGCTCCGTGGATCGCAATGGCCTCCGCGTCTGCCGTCGAGATGTCCCTGGCGCGAGCGCGGGAGAAAGCGGCGACGACGGGGCTCGGACTGGCTGTGTTCTCTTGCGGCCAGATGTGGTTCACCGCTCTGAAAACGAGCTCCTGGACCACGTGCGTCTTGCGGATCCACCCTGATCCAGTAGGAGGACGTGGTGGACCTTGCGCAAGTGGCAGGGGGTGTCATTCTTCTCGTCGCGCCAGACCTGGTCATTGGCATCAGCAAAGCGCGCGGCGAAGATGATCTGGTCTTGAGGGGCCTTTTTTTCCTTTGGCAACCCAGCCACGAGGTCCAGGATGCAAGCGCCCGGGGTTGGGTGCGCGGTGGCTTCGTCGAATGACGCTGGCTCGGGGCCCTTCCCGTGCCCCGCGCCAGGCGCCCCGCCCTCGTCGTCGGAATCGTCGTCGCCTGCGCGCATGTCCGGAATGCAAGATCCTGCAACCTCAGCATTTGGACTTGCTTGTCCACGTGACCCGTTCCGCTCCACGCATCCGGCATGCAGTCGCCGCGTTGTCCCGCGGCCTTGGTCAAGTAGGCGATCAGCGCGCGAGTGGTCGGGGATGACGTCTTTCCAGTCCATGCGCGGGAGGGCCAGCAGCTCCTTCTCGAACGCTTCGGGACGAGCCATCCTGAGGACCTCGGAACTCGCCATCCCCAGCAGGGGCGGCGCTTCGAAAGTGCCGATCTTCAACTGCGGCGCAGCCTGAGGGTCGTCCGCCGCGACGCCTGCCCCCTCGTCGTCGCTGGGCCCATTTCCGCCAGCGGTCGTGCGGAGGTGCGCCTGGTAAACGGCAGCGTCTGACTGGTACTGGCGCGGGCGGTGCTCTATGCGCGCTCTCGCAAGGCCCTGCAGGTTGCGCTCCAGGACGCATAGCGCCTCCACTGCCAGCGCACCCCTTGTGGCGTCGAGAACATGCCACGCCTGCCACGCCCTGCGGGCCTGCAACGCTAGCGCCCCCACCACCGGCGCACCCCTTGCGGCGTCGAGGAAATGCCGCGCCTGCCGCGGCTTGCGGTCCTGCAACGCATAGCGCTCCCGCCCCCAGCGCACCCTCGGTGGCGTCGAGGAGATGCCACTGCAACGCGTAGCGCCCCCACCCCCAGCGCACCCCCTGCGGCGTCGGGGAAATGCCACGCCTGCCACGCTTTGCGAGCCTGGAAACCGTAGCGCCCCCACCCCCAGCGCCCCCCCCTGTGGCGTCGAGGAAATGCCACGCCTGCCACGCCCTGCGAGCTTGCAACGCATAGCCCCCCCCACCCCCGGCGCACCCCCTGTGGCGTCGAGGAAATGCCACGTTTGCGACGCCCTGCGAGCCTGCAGCGCATAGCGCCCCCACCCCCAGCGCACCCCCTGTGGCGTCGGGGAAATGCCACGCCCTGCGAGCCTGCAAACCGTAGCGCCCCCACCCCCAGCGCACCCCTTGTGGCGTCGAGGAAATGCCACGCCTGCCACGCCCTGCGAGCCTGCAGCGCGTAGCGCCCATCCCCCAGAGCACCCCCTGTGGCGTCGAGGAAATGCCACGCTTGCGGCGCCGTGCGAGCCTGCAACGCATGGCGCCCCCACCCCCAGAGCACCCTTTGTGGCGTCGAAAAGATGCCACGCCTGCGATGCCCTTGGCGACCGAGCGCATACGTCTTGACTGTCTGATGCTTTGCGCCTGCCACGCTTGCCGCGCCCTGCGAATCTTGAACGCATGTTCTTTGCGTAGTTCGAACGCGTGTCTCATGCACGTGCCGTGCATGTGTTGCGCTCGGGAGAGGCGAGGAAGAGGAGGAGGGGAAGAGGGAGGTGTGTGTGCGTGGGAGGAGACGCGGGAGCGACGCGACAGGGAAGAAACTCACGCTACCGAGGAACCCCGCATACTTATAAAATGTCCGGCATGATGACAGCTGACGTGAAACTTGCGAGATCGATGCAGACGAAGGGTCCAGCAAGTACCTTGCCAAGCACTGCCTCCTGGCATCGTCGGCGCCTAGCAACGCATGCAACGCGTAGCGGGAGCATGGAACGCATAGCGGGAGCATGCAACGCATAGCGCCCCCACAACCAGCACATCCCCTGTGGCGTCGAGGAAATGCCACGCCTGCCACGCCCTGCGGGCGTGCGACGCATAGCGCCCCCATTCCCAGCGCACCCCCTTGTGGTGTCGAGGAGATGCCACGCGTCCCACGCCCTGCGAGCCTGCAACGCATAGCCCCCCCCACCCCGTGCGCACCCCCTTCTAGTGCCGAGAAAATGCCACGCTTGCCACGACCCTGGCACGCATAGGCCGCACTGTGTGTGTGTGTGTTGTGTGTGTGTGTTCTGTGTGTGCTGTGTGTTGTGCGAACATGTGTGTATGTGTCTGTGTGTGTGCGTGTGTATGTGTGTGTGTGTGTGTGTTCGGTGTGTGTGTGTGTGTGTGTGTGTGCGTGCGTGTGTGTGTGTGTGTTTGTGTGTGTGCGTTTTGTGTGCATGCGTGCGGCTGTATGTAGACGCGTGTCTCATGCACGTGCTTTGCATGCGTTGCGCGTGGGTGAGGAGAGGAAGAATCGGAGTGGAAGAGGAGGAGGGGAAAAAGGAGGTGTGTGTGGGAGGGAGGAGACGCGGGTGAGACGCGGCAGGGAAGACAACCAGAACCCCACTCAACAGATGGGGAACCAGAAACCCATCAAGCACGTGGGGAAACAAACGACTCAGGATGAAACACGGGTCCGGGGAGATGGGTGAACACTTCTGGGGGCCCCATATGGAAAAACAAAAAAAAACACGACATCGGATCTCTGGGACTGCAGCTTGGAGTTTCTGGTTCTCTTGCCCAGAACCCCGAGGCGCACTGGATATGGATGAGAATCTGGCCCCTGTAGAGGCTCGAGTTTTGACCATAGCCAGTGCGTCTCGGCCTTGCGGTGCCCCCTCCAAGAATGTCCAAGACGCACTGGATATGGATGGGAATGTTGCCCAGAGGTGGGAGGAGGACGCGCTGCGCGACGACGAATTGTCGCAGGCCTCGAGGGAGAAAAGCAATCAGAAAGCATAATCCCAGAGATCCATCGCATTGACAAAAAAAAGGCGCAGGGTTTTCGCAGTTTTCGGCCTCTAGGGGCCCTCGCGGGGCCCCAGGACCGTCATACAACAATTCAAGATGAAAAAACGATTCCTGGGACTGGGTCGGGATTTCTGGGGACCCCGTAATGAAAAAAAAAAAACACGACATCGGACCTCTGGGATTAAGACATAGCGACGTGTGGATGCGCGGCACCCCGCCATTGCGGATTGGAGTGGGCGGGCGGGCGCGGGGTGGGTCACGGGTGGGTCGCCGCTGGTGGGTTGGGGGGTGGGTCGCGGGGTGGGTCGCGGGTGGGTCGCGGGGGGACGACGACAGCAATAAGCAACATGCAACAAATGAGCAGAATCCGGGCTACGAAATGCAATTTCACCAGCGCATTCAGGGATGGTGTGAGACCGTTCGGCCACTTCATTCTGATGTCATGAGCCCTCTGCCGACGGCAAGGATGGTCCATGTCGAAGATGGTCCATGTCGGACGAACGCATGGCCTCGCAGCGGGAAAATCGGCGAAGATGGTCCATGCCATAGGCCTCCCGCCGACCCATCAGCGAAGAGGTTCTGTATGTCGAAGGAAAAATCGGCTCAAAGATAAACTTTCGGGGGTCTGCGCGGTTACTTGGCTCTGCGCTGGGGTCCTTCCCTAGCGGCCATTAGAAGCAATCGATTTCGATCATCGCCGAAAGGGAGGGCTGCTGGGTTCGAGGAAGAAAAACGGCGTAAACACAGTCTTCGGAGGTCCGCAAAGGTTCTGCACTAAGCCCCCCCTCCCTAGCCAGGAGGCCGTTAAAAAGCGTTCGATTTCGACCATCGTCGAGCCGGTGGGCTTTTGGATCCGAGGCAGAAAAGCTAGCGCAAACATAGACTTTCGGAGGCGCCGCCCCTGGCGCACTCTGGGCGCCAGGGCGCCAGGGAGGGGGGACCAGCGCCAATCCAAGACATCCGCGCCGACCTCCGAAAGAATATGCGCATGCGTATGCAATCTTTGTCTCGTTGCATCTCCCCCCCATTCTTTTCCAGGCCAAAGTTGGGAGCCAGCTTATGTGTGCGCAGCCCTGCCTTGTCTCAAGGCCATCACGGGCAGCAAGCTGAGCGGCATGGAGCTGGAGCTGCGTGCGCTGGCAGTGAAGATCGCGCCCAGCGAGGACTACATGAACAGCTGCAGGCAGTGCCTCAACCAGGTGAAGGTCGCCGTCGCCACGCACGACTGGGGCGAGGACCGGCCCTCTCTCCCCACCATGGTGGGCTCCGTGATGCAGGAGACCGAGCTGGAGGGCTGCGACATCGACATGGCGCTGCGGTTCCCGTCCGGCGGCTCCCAGGCGAGCCGGGAGTCGCGCATCGAGGAGTTCTGGGAGAAGCTGCTGCTCTCGCCCCAGCTGGCCGTCTACCAGACCACGAGGACGTTCCCGCACGCGAAGGCGCCCCTGACCGTGGAGCTCAAGGGCTCGTCGCCGCCGACGGTGGCGCACCTGCTCGTAGTGGACCCGGTAAGCGCACCCGCGAGGCAGACGACGGTGGACCAAGTGATCAAGACGCTCTGCGACCACTTTGGACCGGCGAGGGACCTGGTGCGGCTGGTGAAGTTGTGGGCGACGAACCGCAGCCTCTCACGCGAGCATGACGGCTACCCCAGCGGCCTTGCGTGGACGTTGATAACGATTTGCTTCTTGCAGGCAGACAAGCTGGTACCACCTTATAAGGACGTCTCCAAAGTGCAACGGTCGACAATGATGCCGGACATCCTTGCCATGCTCCGCCGGTTCTTCGAGTTCCTGGCCGCCGGCCAGGGCGCTCTAGCCCGTGGCTTCTCCGTGGTGCGCGGACAGGATGGGACGGGCCAACGACCAGGATGAATCGTTCCAGATTTTTCCCAACCATCCTGTGGTGTTGGGTCTGCGTTTTGAAGAGACAGCGCCCTGCGTCTCCTCCTCTCCTCTCCTTCCTCCTCCCCCTCCCCCTCCTCCCATCCCTGCCTCTGCCCTCCGCATGTTTGTGGTTCGGCACACCCCTCACACGTTTCGTTGCCCCGTAGGGAGCTCCACCGATGGTCCCAGTGGCTCCACCCACCCAGTACAGCGCTCCGTTGCCCCATAGGGAGCTCTACCGAAGGGCTTAGTAGCGGTGTTCAAAGCTTCATGATTCAGTATAGCGCTTTATGGCTTCACAGGGAGCTCCACCGAAGGCCTCGATTGCGGTGTTCGCATGCGCCTCCCCCGCCCAGTGCAGCGTTTCGTGGCCCCATAGGGAACTCCACCGAAGGCCTCTGTGGCTGTGTTCGCATGCGTCTCCCCCGCCCAATGCAGCGTTTAGTGGCCGCAGAAGGAGCTCCACCGAAGGCCCCGGTGACGGTGTTCGCATGCATCTCTCCCGTCCAGTGAAGCGTTCCGTTGCCCCACAGGGAGCTCCACCGAATGCCCCAGTGGCGGCCCCGCCCCACTGCGGCGCACCCCTCACACGTTTCGCGACCTCACAGTGGGTTGTACCTAAAGCCCCTGTGGCAGCGCCCACATGGCAGCCCTACCCCATATCGGCACACCCTTCACATGCTTCATGGCCCCATGAGCAGATCCCCCGAAGGCGATACACGCAACGACGGCACTGGCAGCTGCATAAGGCTAGGTTGGACCCTTCGCCAGGATCATTTTCGGGACGCCAAGGTCCGTGCGGAGTCTTGGCTCGGCGATGGGCTCCCCTGCCTCAGAGACTTTCTGCCGATACCGTCTTCGTTCCTCTGCGCGCATCCTCCAGAACCGCCGGGTCCCAGCGATCACAGACTCATATCCCGATCCGCTCTGGTGCCGATCCTGGCCCTGTCCCGCAGGAGTTCCAGGCGCCGCCCGGGGAGCCAGTCTTCGTGGAGGACCCCGCGGAGCTCCTCGAGGGGAGCAAGCAGCTGAACCTCGCGCAGGGAACGGGGGGGCTCCAGTGGCAGAGGGTGGTGGAGGAGGCGAAGAAGGCTCGGCGGCGAGCAATGCGGGCTGGCAAGGCTTCGGGCTGTGCGCTGACGGCTCCCCCTATAGGCAGCCCCTGCTGGCCTCAAGAGCCCCCCCGAGAGTAGTCCCAGCTGGCCTCAGCAGGCCTCCCGAGTAGTCCAGGGCTGCCTCCGCACCCCCACCCTGGGACGCGGAGCGCTCCAAGACTACTCGCGAGGCCTGTCGAGGCCAACTGGGACTGTTCTCGGGGGGCCTCTTGAAGCCAGCAGGGACTACAGGGGGGGGCGTCTGTGCGCATCCTTGAGCCTTACCGTCTCCAGAACATCCGACGCCGTGATTTTTGTCACAGCTTGACCCCCCAGAGGTCTGGACTCTCAGGAAGTCGGGTCGGACGAAGGGGGGGAAGGCAGGGAGAGGTAGAGGTAGAGAGTTGGCGTTGCTCGAAGAGGAAGACGAAGACGAAGAAGAATAATAAGAAAAATAAGCGCCAGACATATGAACTTTTGGCGCGCCGCGCGGACTTCTTGGATCCGCGCTGGCGCTGGGCAGGGGGAGGGGGGAAGGCTTCTGAGGAGGAGGCTGCTTCTTAGAAGGCACCGGCCTTACATCTGTAGATAAGGCTCGCGCCTTCCAAGAAGCAGGGGTGCTTCGAAGAAGCCTTCCCCTCTCCCCCTACCCCCCTCTGCGCGTGGCTGAGCCTCCGCCGCCGCCGCCTCCTCTTCCTCCTGGCAGCTTCTGGCCTCGGGCGGGCACCCGCCGCGCTCCGAGTGCCGTCAAGTCTTATGCTTCGAGCGGTGCCCACCCTCCTCCTCCTCCTCCTCCTCCTCCTCCTCCTCCTCCTCCTCCTCCTCCTCCTCCTCCTCCTCCTCCCGAAGCAGGCCCGATGCAGGCCTGGGCGGTTTTGATGTTTTTTCTTGAATCGAGCAATCAAAAAGCCGTCCACACTGTACACGGACGGCCGCAGCCCGCGCCTCTGCACGCGGGCGGGCTGCACTCTTGATGCGATTGCTTACGGCGGGCCGTCTCTGGCAGCACGCGCAGTTTTCCCAAATTCTTGAAGCAGGTCTTTGCCTGCCCGCCGCATCCGCCACACCCAAGCCCACAAGTACGTGCGGCAACGCTCCCAATCGGACGTATGAACGCCGTCTGGGATGCTGCTGCGCATCTCAGGCCACAAGCCATCGCAGCACTGCGTGTTTTTTTTAAAGGAGCGTCTCGGTGCGCCCGTTCGGGCGCACGACGCGCACGCGGTCGACGACGGCCCACTGCTCGGCATCGTGGGAAATTATGCCGTGCGACAGTTTCATATGCTTGTAATGAGCATTGAAGCGCTCCGCGCTGAAGCGGGGAGGGTCCTTACTCTTGTCGCTGTACGCAGCACGGCTCTTCGGGGCAACGGATTGGTATGCGCCTGCTCCGTCGGTTGAGAACGTAAAATTTCCAGGCACGAGAACCCAAGAGAGGATCTCGTCACACTCGGGCCCGCTGAGCGCTACGCCGCTCCCTCCACCAGCACAGGTGCGCTGAGGCAGCTCGAAAAACATCGCCAACGGTCGCTGCCCCCGAGGCATCACGCACATAAACCGATGATGCAATATCCGATACCGCCCATGAGGATGCTTACCGCACGTCTGATCCGAGCAGTCCGACGGGCAAGGCACGCGGCGTGCACGCATTGACGCCTCGTCGGCTTCAACGAGGCACCCGCGGGGCCATTTGAACTCATCTTGCTCGGCCTGAGCTGCGCGAGCGCATATGGCCCGCACCACGCTGGCAATGCGCTGGGATGCGTTCTTCGATCTCCCCACCTGCACCGCCAGCTCGTCCGACGACTCGTAGCCCGAGGCGTGCTGAGTCGCTGCGTGGGCGATGGCGAGGAGAGTGCGGGTGGTGTTCACAGAGCCTTGGTTGAACAACTCCTTCAAGGGGCCCTTCGGGTCGAGGTTGGACTCGCGCTTCTGGCAATCCCAATTGGAACAGCGCCACACAGGGTAGTCCATATGGGGAATGCTGAAGCCCGCCACCTGAGTGTGCTTGTCCGTCTGGCTGCTCCGAGTCTTCAACTCCATCGTGCCGCTCTGGCACGCCGAGCACTCGACTCTCAGGTGTGGCAGCACACCGATCTCGACCATGGATAAGGCAGTCCGAGGAGCCCGGGCTGGATGCGCGCCAAGCCGATCAGTGCGATTCTCTGGGGAATCTTGAGCTCGGCAACGCGAGGTCGAACAGCTTGCTTTTGCATCGGAGGGATGTACGACGGGCCAGGCGCCTCCTTATTTGGCTTCGCTGTTCCCTTCCTCATCATCGAGCTCTTGCTGATGCGACTTCCCTTTGTGAGCGACACCTTGCGCGTGCCAGAAAGCTTCCTAGACGGGAGAGTTGCACAGGCAGGCCGTCTCTTCGACGAGGGAGTTGAACGAGCGGGCTTCTTCTTCAAAATCGCCTTTGCCACGCGATGAGCCCGCTTGTGCTTGTCCGCCTTGGAAGCTTTGCCACCATGCGGCACGGCGGGCAGGTCTGGCGCGCGGGAGAGCGGAAGCGGGACCGCGAGCTGATCGCCGAATTGAGCCAAAGGTGTTACGGACAGAGCAGCAGGGCGGCGACCACGTGCGCGGCATCTGCAGATGCGCGACGCCTCAAGTATGATCACGGCCAGAAAGCGCTGATCTTTTTCTCATGCGGGACCTCGTTCTTGCAACGCCCCGCCCCGTTCACGGGCGCTGCCCATTTCCGACGTGCACAAATTCTGGTTCGCGCGCGCCCCCTGCTGGCGCCTGCGCGCGCGCGCCTCGCTTTTTTTTGAGGGGGGGGGGGGGGGCGAGCGTCGGAAGGGCCTTTCCCCGCACCGCTGCGCGCGAGGGGGGGAGGAGGGCGAGTGCGCGGCGCTGGCGTCGCCGAGTTAAGCGCCCAGATCCTGCCGCCAGTCGCGTGCCTCGGCGCGCGCGCCGCCTGGCATGCAATGCCGCGACACGTGGCCCGCGTAGCAGGCGCGGGCGTCACCGTCGAATACTATGAATCCCTCTCGGAAGGTCAGGACCGCCACGGCGTGCCCGACCACTCCAGGCGCTGAGGCGTAGGTGGCGGTGTAGCGACCAGGCGGCGCGCCGCGGGCCCCGCGGATGAATGCGGGGGAGATCGCGTGCCCGTCGCTCGCAACCATGGCCCTTGCATCATTGATGCTGAAAGGGCCGTCTCGAAGGTGCGGTACATTGAGGCCCAGGGCGTTCAGCGCGTCGATCACGCAGCAGTCCTGGCGACGGCATGGAATGCGATGGGGGGGGGGGGGGGGGATCGCAACATGTTATTGAAACGCATGGCAAACACGCGAGCGCGCACGCGCACGTACATTACTGCGATCACTTATCCCTCCTATCACATGCGCACCCTGGTCAAGCACCGTCGTGGTCATGCACCGTATGTGTACGTATGCGTACGCGCATGTATAAGTAGATGTGCATTCTGCTCATGCGCATGTACATGTTGCATGTGGGCTGCTGCGTGCATCGGGCCCCTCCACAAACGTCCTTGAAGCCCGCCCCAAAGAGGCCGTTGTCCACCGCCGACCCCGACGCCTGGCCGCCCGCCGCCGACCCAGACGCCTCGCCGCCCGCCGCCGACCCTGACGCCTCGCCGCCCAGCAAGGCTGCTTAGGAGAAGCAGAGGCAGAGGGGCGAAGGGGGCCCGAAGGGCAAAGTTGTGTGATCCCTTCCGCTGTGGCGGTCCTTGGTCTTCCTGTGCTCTTCCTGCTCCTGCCTCGTCTTCTCCGCTTCCTCCTTGTTCTTCTGCTCGGCCTTTTCGAGCTTCTTCGTAAGCTTGGCGTTTTCCTCTCCAAGCGTGTTCGCCTTTTCGGCCAGAGGCCGCAGTGCGCTGATCACGCTTCTGTTCTTGTTAAGGACATTCGTGACGAGGTCGGCGCGCCTATTGGCCTCCTTAGCATTTCCCCTGTACTTCGACACCTCCCACTTGAGCTCCTGAACCACCTCCCTGGCCTTCACCACCCACGCCGCTTTCACCCATGGCTTCTTGACCCACCGCTCGAACGAAGCCTTGCGTTTCCGATCGCGCGTCGCGATCGCCTTCCGCAGGCGCGCGGCGACAGACGATGCAGGCATGGCACAACCCGTCGAAGTTTGAGCGGTATCCAGCGGCTTAGCGGCTTGAGCAAAACACCTACGTAATCGCCATCACCATCATGAACATCATCCTCGTCGTCATCATCGTCCTCGTCATCGTCGTGAACATCATGATCATCATCATCATCGTCATCGTCATCGTCATCATCGTTCTCTCCATCATCATCGCGATCATCATCATCACCATCATCATCATCATAATCAGCCGCGGCGAACTCCTCCTCTCCTCCTCCTCGTCCTACTCAGTGCCATTCGCAGCTGGAGGCTGGAACGCCAGAGACCATTGAGAAAACTTAAAAAACCTAAAAAACCTAAACAACTTATTTTTCTGACAAATCTGCCTGACCCGAGGCCACTTCCTGAAGTTCGCCCGAAAAATTATTTGTTTAGGTTTATTCGTTTTTTTGGTTTCCCTGCGACTCCCGCTTGAGGACTGCTGGGGGCGCTCTCCGACGCCCAAGTCGGAAAACGCTGAAAACGCCCAGGCTTGCATCGGGCCTGGCGCCCCTCCTCCTCCTCCTCCTCCTCCTCCTCCTCCTCCTCCTCCTCCTCCTCCCTCCTCCTCCTCCTCCTCCTCTCCTCCTCCTCCTCCTCCTCCTCCTCCTCCTCCCGTCGAAAAAAGAAGCCGGCAAGGGTTCTGTCTCTTGTCGCGGTGGCGCACGGGTGCGCCTCTCGGCCCGCCTCCTCTCTTGCTTTGTACTGCCTCGGCCCTGGCCCCTGGCCGAGGGGGAGGAGGAGGACCGCGAGGGGCGGGACTCCCACAGCGGGAGCCCGCGTCAAGTTTCAGATTGGGTCTCGTCATTTTTATGGCGGCCCCCGTCAGGCCAACCCGAGTCCCCCGTACCCGAGTCTTACGTCTCCCCGACCCAGGAGTACCACTGGCACATTCTTGGGCCTGGTGGCCGCGGTGCGCAGGGTGTGCGAGGCGGGTCGGGAGTTCTTGTTGTCAGAGCGAACACCAGGAGGGGGAAACAAAAACACACACACACAGACACAATGAATCGTCGATTACCAGGGAGGGATGGGAAAACATGGGAAGTGGGGGGGGAAGACGAAAACCCCGACGCGGGTCGTGAGTCCTGTCCGTCAGAGCGAGCGGCCCCGTCCTGTCCGGTGGGGATTCGACGACTCGGGATGAAAAGCTGGTCCCCAGAGATGGGTCCAGGAGGAGGAGGAGGAGGAAAAGGAGGAGGAGGAGGAGGAGGAGGAGGAGGAGGGGAGGAGGAGGAGCTGTGGGTGGAGAGGAGGAGGAGGAGGAGGAGGAGAGGAGGAGGAGGGAGGAGGAGGAGGAGGAGGAGGAGGAGGAGGAGGAGCTGTGGGGAGCCGCGCCGCCGCCGCGGCGGAAAGCACGGCCGCGGACGTCTGGGTTAGCGCGCCGCCCGAGAAAGGTGTCGGACAGGCTCGCGGCGACGCCGCAGCGCTGGTTCCACTGGGCCGAGGTCCAGGGGCAGCGTTCGGCGGGGAGGGGCGCCGGGCGGGGAAAAGCCCTGGTTGGCCCACAAGTCACGAGGGGTTCCAGCACAGAGAGGATGGTGCAACAGATCTGGTGCAAGAGACTTGTGGGGTTGTTGAATATACACTTGGGGCGTGCAGTATGTGCATTCTGGTGAGCAAGCGTGCTGCTGGGTTTTCGTGTGCCATACATGAGATGCAGGACGCAGTCATACAGTTCTCTGGGGCCATGAATGTGCAATGTAGCTGTCCCAGACCTATTGCACCACCCCCTTTCAGCTGGACCCCCTCTTGGGGTCAACCAAAAGAGCGTCGACCCCCAATGGCCCACTGATCGCCGAGAGGGCCCGAGTGCCCACCCCGCCCATGACCGTGCGCTTTCGCTTTCGGGGGCACGTCGCCGATCTCTCCGCGATGTCTCGCCGACTCCAGGTCGATGGCTCCCCCTTCCCGAGCGGGTTCTCCCCCTGGACGTTCCCTCACAGATCGGGAAGATCCAAATGAGCACAGAAAGACCGGGTGCAGAGACCGACAGCAGTT